CCTTGTCCTCACTGACTGTGTGAGGGACTGTCTCTCTTGTCCCTGTCTCACAGGCCATCCTCTTGAGAGCTGTGAGGAGAGAAGTTGCCATTGAAGACTGAGACAAAAAAACTTGTTCAGGACCTCGGCCTTCTCCTCATCAATGGATGCATTGTTACTAATTCTCCATTGTTGTTCTTCAGGGAGGGGATGCCTTCCTTGACCTTCCTCTGCTGGTGAATGTACCTATAGAAGCCCTTCCTGTTTTCCTTTGCATCTCTCACCACGTTCAGCTCCCGCTGCACCTTGGCCTTCCTCACCTCGTCCCTGCACAACTGGGCGGTGTCCCTGTATTCTCCCCAGGATACCTGCCCCTGCTTCCACTGCTTGTGCAGTCTCATCTTGTCCTTTAGTCTGGCCAGCAGGTCTCGACTCAGCCATGCTGGTCTCCTTCCTTCCCTACCTGATTTCCTGCAGCTGGGAATTGTAAGTTCCTGCGCTCTATGATAAGTATCCTTAAAGATCTGCCAGCTCCGCGCCGCTCCCTTGTCCCTAAGGACTATTTCCCAGGGAGTCTGACTGATTGACTCCTTGAAGAGCTGGAGGCTTGATTTCTTAAAATTTAGGGGTTTGACTTTGCTTTTTAACTCCCTCCTACCCCGTAGGACCGTGAACTGCACTAATGCATGGTCACTGCAGCCCAGGCTGCCTCCTGTCTTCATATCCCCTGTTCCTTGTCTCAGACACCCCGATTCATTCAGCATGAAGTTACATGGGAAAGGGAAATCTGTGTTGCAAATTAACAATATCAGAATTTGGTTTTTATGTTAAAAAGAGAGCGAGCCTGTGAGTGTACAGTTATTCTGTGACTTTCTGCTAAATCTATTGACAGAAATAATGAGAATCCTTTGGCATTCCTTTGAAACGATTTCTTTTACATTCTTCCCTACCATACTGAAAAACATTATATTGCCCAAGTACAAGTATCTGTAAGATGTTTTTTTTTATTATTTCTCTTTTGGAATATGCAGCAGCTTGTGATTTGTGCCTTCTGGATAGTTAAAAAATAGAGGACTGAAGGTCTAAAGGGAAATGGGAACCTGACTGGGTTTTGACTGAAATACTAAAGCCTTTCTTGAGTGCTTTGTTCTGTGTTGAAAGCTTTTATTGTTGACTTTTTGTCACATTTCTTTCATGGACTGCTGCAAGATAATGTACCCTCAGGACAGACACCTTTGGCAAGTGATGGAAGATCCCCTGTTTTCTGTGCTCTGAGAATTAACAAGGTTATGCAGTAGCTTTTGTGGAAGTAATCAATTCTCTCTTTTTTTTTTTGTTCACCAGAATGCTCAGCACGTTGAAGTGGAAAGTATCCCCTTACCAGATATGCCACATGCTCCTTCCAACATCCTCATACAGGACATTCCCCTTCCAGGGGCCCAACCACCTTCTATCCTCAAGAAGACATCCGCCTATGGGTAAGAAGGGGAGAGGGGGGAAGGAAAAAAATCACCCAAACTTGAAAAGGAAGTAAAAAAAAAAAAGCACTTTTATTATTGGGGAGGAGCTAGAGGTAGAAGCAGAGGTAAGGCAGAGTAAGACAAATGGGAAGTTCTGTGCAAGTGAACTGTACTTTTTTAACCAAAGCACTTAATCTTTCCTTACTACTACAGGTTTTTGTTTAGGCTGGTTTATAAGTAATATACTATGTTTTCTAGCATTTATCTTTCTGCTTACCAGTTAAAGTTAAAGCCCTACAATTTTGAACATAAATGGCCCTTATATAACAGTGTCTGTGTTCTTTTGTTTTGCTAGTATATTCAATTTAAGGTCCTAGTGTACTTGTTTATCAGGTTTCTCATTCTAGTACTAGTTTCTTCTATTTCTATCTGAGTAGTCTTCTGTTTTCACCAACTTTGTGGTTACTTCATTCTGATTTTGTAATAGAATTCAATACTTGCCTTTTTTTTTTTTTCAGTCTTTGCCTCAGTTGCTTTCTGAGAAGCTTTCTTTTGTCTGAGCTTAGGCAATCATATCTTTGTATGAGGTTGTGAACTTCTTTCTCCAAATCTATAAGAATGTTTCTTTTTAGAAGGCTTCTGTGCAAGCAGTAAGGGAAGGCTGAAGAATTCTGTCAGGCTCATGTTTGGGTTTGTTCATTTGTGTTCCTGTGTTTATTTCCAGACCCCCAGTTCGGTCCATTTCTGTTCTTCCTCCTCCGGGGCTCGGTGTTCCACGCTTGCCTCCCGGCAGGAAGCCCCCCGGGCCTCCCCCAGGGCCACCCCCACCCCAGGTCCTACAGATGTATGGCCGCAAAGTGGGTTTCAGCCTGGAGATGGCTCCTCGGCGGCGGGAGGAGGAGGTTTCCTACAGCTCTGAAGCAGGTACGGCCTTTCCTGGTGCTGCCTGGGGTTTTCCTTGGACCCTGAACAAACAAAAAAACAGCCCCAAACAGCCCATGGGGAAAAAAAACACAACTTTGAGAAATCTTCACTTTTCAAGAAAACAAACAAAATGGAAAAAAAACCCAATTAATAAAAACTAAAAAAAAAAAAACAACCCAAACATACAAAACCCATACCTTACAAAAAAAAACCGCAAACCAATAACAGCCTCAAACTAAACCAAGCCTGGGTATGGATTTGGTAGGAGAACCTCAGTCCTTTTAATACAGTTACTCTGAGTTCCCTAGAAATTTTTGTGAATGCATAGCTCAGCTTTACTGCATACCAGAAAGCATCAAAGTATTTCAGTTGTGGGTGATGGCTGCATAGAAGTGAACCAATGAGTCGTAGGTGGGGATTGCCTTTGCTTGTTTGCTGTGCAAATTAACCAGCTGCTTAATGGGAAATCGTATAAATCTCTTCAAGATAGTCTTTAAGAATATGTGATAAGTAGTAGGGGATTGACAGCGTGTCCTTGCTCTTGCTGGGGGGGGTTGTAACTGCAGACACAAAGTATTCTGGTTTTTACAGCAGTGTGGTTGGGGCTGGTGCATCTCCTCATACTCTGCTCCCTGCAGGGCAGCGAGGGCACGACGAGGATATGTCCAGTACCAGTGAGGATGAAGGTTACCCTGAGGACATGGATCAAGACAAGCACGAGGAGAGCAGCGATGACAGTGACAGCGATAGGTCAGATGCAGACAGTGAAGGAGAGGACTTCCTTCACCGTGACAACGACAAGGAGCGGGAAGGTGGCGAGGAGAAGAAATCGGGTATGATGGGGAGTTATCGATCGGGGTCTGATTCCCCCTGCCCCCAACAGAGAAACACTACATAACAGGTTGCCAGTTTTCCTGACTGGGAGGCAAAGTAATTTAGCTAGCTAATTCTGTTCCAACTCACCTCATTTTCAGCTGAAGAATTTTTCTTAGTAAATGGATCAGAAGGAAACTGTCTGGAAGTGAAGCACCTTCTTCAGATGGACCCGTTTCCTTAGCGGTTGAGTTAGCTTAGTGAGATCACAGGCCATTTTTTCACTTGCAGGCAGGGTACCTTTATAAAAATTAAGCCTCAGTGTAAAATATGCTCACTTTTCCCTGGCTTGAACAACTAAGACAACTAAATTTCATACTGCTAATACTTTTGGATAATTTTTTTTTGACTGCTTGGAGGAGACCAACTGATAGAGAATACTAAGTTAGCAAAACTTCCAGTAATCAGTAATGCTAATGTTAACTCTTGTGAAAGGAGCATCATTATATTAGGATGATAACTTTATTCATACCAGGTAGAAGGTTTAAACCTGTCTGGGTTTTATTTTCTTCCCACTTGTGCCACCCTTTGCTTTGCTGTCCCCAGGTCACAGCGTGCGGTTCGCAGACATGCCCGGGAAGTCACGAAAAAAGAAAAAGAACATGAAAGAACTGACTCCACTTCAGGCCATGATGTTACGAATGGCAGGTGAGTGGGGTGGATGTGCTAAGTGGAGATACACCATCAGGCTTCCTGTTGGGGTTGCTCTGGTAAGCTTACTTTGTTTGCACAGGTTTTTTTTTTTATACAGTAAATATTTTACTGTCATAATGCAGGATTTGCTAAGAGTATAAGCTGTGGTTGGTTTTTTGTTGTTTGGTTTTAAAATGATTTTTAGTCTAGTAGTGTGGGTGTACTCTGCATAGCAGGGTTGGAGTTGTAGTAGCAACTTAGCTGTTTTTTCTATGTACTGGGATTTTTTTCTTCTAACTTATCTTGCTTAGCTTTTAAACAATTGCTTTAGTGAAATGGGAACCTCTTTGTGAAAAAGGAAGAGTGAGATTGTGAACTCAGCCTTTAACCTGCAAGGACTTGTCCTCCCTAAAAACAACCTTTTGCAGAAGTAAGAGAACCAAAAAAGTGAAGGTTTTTTTTTTTTTCTTTCTTTGTTTTAGAAAGACACCTCAGTATCTTTCAGAGGCACTAGAGTTTCTTGGACATAGGGATTATGTTTATTTTGAGTCCATGTCCCTGTCCTCATTCCCCCTTTTCATACAAACGGTAAATCAGATAGCTGCAGCTTAGGTTGGTAATGGAAGTTTTGGCTCCCACAAGAAGCTCTTTGTTGCAAAACTCTATCTAGAACAGATTTTTTTAAAAAATTATTTTATTTTCATTTTCTTCTTAACAATAAGATGTGGTCAGTTTTATCTCCTTTGAAGTAAGGTTTGTCTTTATTTTTCTTCTTCTGTGCTCAAATTTCTCTGATACTCACAAAGATACTAGCTGTGAAATGATTTTATAAGTATGTCTCCATTTCCAGGTCAGGAAATTCCAGAAGAAGGGAGAGAAGTGGAGGAATATTCAGAAGAAGAGGAGGAGGAGGAAGAGGACTCGGAGTCTGAAGAGACAGCACAACAGCAGCAGCAGCAGCAACTGGGTGAGGAAGCTCTTGCAGAGACTGCAACATCTACTGCAACTTCCCAGGCACAGCAGCAGCAACCAGCTCCACAGTCTGTTCCTGCAACTCAGATACAGGCACCTCCTATGCCTGGGCCACCTCCGCTGGGACCACCTCCGGCCCCTCCGCTGAGGCCCCCAGGCCCACCCACTGGCCTTCCTCCTGGCCCTCCACCAGGTGAGCATTTGATTGACTCTGCTTTGAAAGATGCAGGCTCTTGGTACTACAGGCAGGGGATCAGTTTGGGAATTTTGAAACTGCAGAATGTGTTGCAGGTGAGGTACAGGAGCCCAGTGTGGTACTTGGAGAGACTTGTGTGATCTTTCCTGTGGCCAGTCTGTTGCTGTGCTGTGCTTTTGAGGCATCAGGCTCCTGTAGCTGTAGTCGGCCTGATGGGCATTGGCTTGTTAGCACTAGCACTGGCAGGCAGCAGTGAAACTGAGGCTGGACAATGAGGAGCAAGGTTATGGTGCCATGTGCCTCTCCAGTGTTAGGTTTGTGTCATTTGGGTGTTTTTTGTCTTGTGGTGTTCCCCTCGCACCCTACCCCGAGCAAGGCATGCTAACGAGGTTTGGGAGCCACTCCCTACTTACAGACTCTGATGGGTTTGGTTAGATTTTTTTTGAGTATGCTTGTTGGTGGGTTTTGGTTTTGTTTCTTTCTTTTTTTAATGAACTTCAGTGTGAAGGCTTCTGCTCTTCTACCAGCTGAATGCATTTCAGTCATCTTGGGGAAGAAAATTATCCTCAGGTGAAATAAGTATTAAATTTGAGTTGGTCAATATTAGACTGCCTGGAGACTATTAGCAATGGGGCCAACCAATCACATTTTTTATAGTTTATATTTTTGCAGGGGACAAACACTTGAGGGTTGTTATTTAGAGGACATCAGCTCATTTAGACAGGCTGTTTTCTCTGAGTTAGTTGGGTTACCATGCAGCTGAACTGGATAACAGTAACAAGCTGTTTGTAATTTTAAGAAGTGCATAAATGTGCTGTATGTCTTATGCAGTGTATCATAGAATCACAGAATGTCTGGGCTGGAAGGGACCTCCAGAGGTCATATAGTCCAACCCTCTTGCCATGAGCATGGACATCTCCAACTAGACCAAGCTACTCAAAGCTTCATCTAGCCTGATCTGGAATGTCCCCAGGGATATACTATGACTTTAATGTATTATATTCTAAGCAGGCACATTAACAATGCGAGTGTGTTTTTTCAAGAAGAGTTGGGGAAGAGCAAAGTTCTTTCCAATTGTCTTCCCCACAGTTTTGTTTCTGACAGCCCCTAGAGGGGGAACCTCCAACCTCAAAACGTTAACTTTCACTAGAGCAAAAGTATGTCTCAGGCCAGAAAGACAGTCAAACGCCAGAGTGAAAAATCCTTTCACTTTTAGCTCTTTGAGTTCTAACAACCTCAGCTCAGTAGCTGTTCTCTGCTGTTGTTTCATTATGTGGGGAACAGCCCTTTTTGCAAGTGAGAAAAGATATGTTAATATTATGAGAAAACTTTCTTCTAAGCCTAAAAACTGCTGCCTCTTTCAGATTTTTTTTCTTTAGAAGATCTCTTTAATCTGGCAGCTGGCTAGCATTAGAACAGTTTTCAAGTTTCTGTATTTCAGCTTTAGCTGATGGGATAGTTTTGGGCTTTTTAACCATCAACTAAATTTATCTGTGTGTGCACACTTTCAGGAGCTCCTCCATTCCTGAGACCTCCTGGCCTACCAGGGCTGCGTGGGCCTTTACCTCGACTTCTGCCGCCAGGCCCTCCACCTGGGCGACCCCCTGGCCCTCCCCCAGGGCCCCCACCAGGTCTGCCCCCTGGTCCTCCTCCACGTGGGCCTCCTCCTCGCCTGCCCCCTCCTGCCCCACCAGGTAGAGTATTCTGTTTGCTCCGGTGCCAGGTCTCCCTGCTTCGTTTGCCCCGTTCTTGCTGTGATGACCAAGCCAGGAAGTCAAAGCGGTTACCAGTTTGCCTTTGTTCCTGTCTGTGGCTGCATTGTACTGCCTTTTCTCTGTGTAATAACAAGTGATTCCATACTGATGTGTAGTTTGGTAGCAAGAAGTCTGTCATCAAAAAAGGAATTCTGGAGTTTAAACTTCTGCTGGACTGTTTCTGTATAACCCCAGGGGGCTATAATGGTGCTCTTCATAATGAATTTCAGATGGGGTATTTTTTTGTTTGCGTGGTCATACATTTCTGATTCCCCTGAAATTCAGGTGGGGTGGGTCATTAAGAAACTTTATTTTCAGATTATAACTTCAAAATCTGAAAGGGAGCAACAGACAGGTTCCTGTAGCTTTCAAAGTTTGAGCATCAGCAGCACTTTCAACTCAGCATTTGGTGGAGGGTTGAAAGCTTTTTCTCTGTAAGAAAAATATGCTACTGCATATTGTTGGCAGGTTTTTTGACTTTCTGAGCCTGTGCACTTAAGACTCCCAGGTGTGGAGTCAGCTCGTGGTTTCTCTTCTTCTGACAGGTATCCCTCCTCCTCGCCCGGGCATGCTGCGGCCGCCCCTGGTGCCTCCGTTAGGACCTGCCCCCCCTGGGCTTTTCCCACCCGCCCCCATTCCAAATCCCGGGGTGCTGAGTGCACCCCCCAGCCTGATCCAGCGCCCCAAGGCGGATGACACCAGCGCTGCCACCATCGAGAAGAAGGCGACGGCCACCATCAGTGCCAAGCCACAGATCACCAACCCCAAGGCCGAGATCACTCGCTTCGTGCCCACGGCCCTGCGAGTGCGCCGGGAGAACAAAGGGGCTTCGGCCGCCTCCCAGAGGAAGCAGGACGATGAGCCTGCGCTCCCACTCACCAAAGCTGCCCCCAAGGCTGGAGCATCTGCCCCTATCTCCGTACAGACAAAGGATGACGTGTATGAAGCCTTCATGAAGGAAATGGAAGGTCTCCTGTGACCTGTCGTAGTCCTAGTCAGCTTTCCTGCCCCTCTGAGCACAGATGAGACCACCATGGAGAGAGGAGAAGGAAAGGTCCTCCTGCAAACAGGGAATAGTTCCCTACCCACAGGTTAACTTGCCAGTACGCTCTGGATAGAGACAGCTGCAGACGAGGTGTCCTGAGGACTTCCTTTCAGAGCTGGCGTGTCCACTGGGCGGAAGGCAGTTACGGTAAAGAACGTGATGTTGGTTCCCTTGAGTCCTCCACTTCCTTGGAGAGAGGTAATGCTACTCTGGGGAAGGAGCCGTGGGAGCAGGGGGTGACTATGCTCTGCCCGAGTTCTGCACATCCTGAGTGCTCTGGTGAGGGTAGTGGAACAGGTTTTTAAGGAGCCAGAAAAGCGTTAGCAGCATTTCATACACATATGGTTGTCCTGTTTTAGTTTTCTGTACTGTTCTTTTCTGTACATATTTTATAATCCCGTTTTTTAGTTGCAGTGAGATTGATCAACCATCTTTCTCCCAGGGTAGTCAGGGAGGTAATTCGATGGGTATACTGTACACTGGAATTTTGCACCCTGTCCCCTCTATGGTCATCTTGATGGCTTTTCATCAGCTGGGGAAATTTCATTTTGTCCTGTGAAAGACAATAAATGTTCAGTGTATGAAAATACTGTTTTCCTTGTGATTTGCCTAGAAACTAGTGTGTAGATGGAAAGAGGGGAGGTACTTTGGTGTCAGGGGAACAGAGGGGCATTCTGAACCTCACAAAAGAAAAGCAATAGCTACATTATACGTACTATATACTTCTTTGAAGTCCTAGATTCTTTAAGTTCCTAAACATCCCTTTCAACCTTTGTTGGTAGCTAGTAGAAACTTTAGTCCCGAAGTACTACTAATAATTACAAAGCTATTTTTTATGTACTCTTATTGAAAGGTTTACTGCATATCAAGCCTCAGATACCCACTAGATGCGTCTTGGACAGTTGACCTTAAGTAAAAATCAGTAAACTATTTTGATTCTAAGAACTTGTCAGATGATTTCACTTGGGGAAAAATATCTCACTCCAAATTATGGCGTTAGTACTCTTAAGGTTCAGATATTTTTTTAAAAAAGACTTTCCCATTTGCAGCATAAAGAGTTTTTTCTGTTTGGGCAGAAGTATTCCTTTAGCTTCATTGTGCTGACAGAACCAAATATTCCAATATCTCACCGCATGCAAAACCGAAATCTTCGTTCTCATTGGAAACAGACAGCAAAAGCTCTTGGTGTCTGCTAGACAAATCAGTTTTAAGACCAGTGGGATCAGTTGTTGGCAGTAAGTCTCTCCCAAACTAACTGCTTCTTCAGAGAGGTAATAAATACTTCAAACATGCAGAGTTTTGTCTGGAATGCTGAATGTGAGCACAAATCCCTGATCATAGAATCACAGAATGTTTCAGGCTGGAAGGGGCCTCTAGGGGTCATCTGGTCCAGCCTCCCTACACAAGCAGGGACATCTCTCCCTAGGTCAGGTTGCCCAGGGCCCTAACAAGCCTGACCTCAAATGACTCCAGGGCTGAGGCCTCCACTATCTCTCTGGCCAGCCCATTCCAATGATCTATCACTCTTATATAAAAGATTTTTTTTCTAATATTGAGTCTAAATCTATCCTTTGCTAGTTTAAACCATTACTCCTTCTTCTGTCATTACAAACCCTTTGAACAGACCTTCCCCTGCCTCTATGCAGGCTCCTCTCAGGCACTGGAAGGGCACTATAAGGAACAACCCCAACTCCCTCAGCCTGTCCTCACAGGAGAGGTGCTCCAATCCCTTGATCATTTTTGTGGCCCTCCTCTGGACTTGCTCCAACATGTCTACATCCTTTTTGTGCTGGGGGCTCCAGAATGGGACACAGTACTCCAGGTGAAGTCTCACCAAGGCATAGTTAGAGGGGCAGAATCCCCTCTCTTGGTGGTCTGGCCACAGTTCTTTTGATGCAGCCCGGGATTCAGCTGGCCTGCTGAGCTGCAATTGCACGTTAGTAGCTCGTGTCCAATTTTCCATCCACCCGCACTCCCAAGTCCCTTTCCACACGACTGCTCCCTGGTAAACCCTCTCCCAGCCTATCCTGATAGTGCTGGTTACCCTGGCCCAGGTGCAGGACCCTGCATTTGGCCTTGTTTAACCTCATAAGGTTCATCTGGTTCCACCTCTCCAGCCTGTCCAGGTCCCTCTGGCATATCAACCGCATCTCCCAGTTTGGTATCAACTCCAAACTTGCTGAGGGTGCACTTAATGCTGCTGTCAGTGTCATTAATGAAGATACTAAACAACCCTGGTCCCAGCACAGGCCCCCGAGGGACACCACTCATCCCATCCTCCACCTGGGCACAGCCATTGACCATCACCCTCTGAATGCGACCACCCAGCCAGTTCCTTATCTACTGAACAGTCCACCCATCAAACCGGTAATTCCCCATCTTGTGGGGGGACATCATCTTTGGTCTGGTACAAGGTCCATTGTATATCTAGATTTATTGCTATGTTTCCTCTTGCTCAAGAGTCCTCGTGCAAATTCCTGAAACTTTGCAGAAGCTGCTGCAGCTGTCTTCCTGGTGACCTTCCACATCTCCCCCTTTTCCTCTTTATTAGCAGGGCAGCCATTATTTGGGTTTCTGTTCTCTGCAGGCTTCTGATGGTGCTCCAAGTGATCTGTAAGACTGAAAAAAAAAGAGAGCACAACACCCCCCATCACTACAAATACCCACAACTGTAAATTTAGACCTGAAAACCGTGTTTTAGAGCTCACCCATTTTACATTATTAGATAGTTCTGTCATAATGTTTTTTTGAGTTAATGCTTGCAGTTCCAACAGCTGATTTTCAAGCTGTCCTGATAAAGTTTGGACATCTAGTTCTAAAGTATCCTTGAAGGTACCTTCTAAATGGGCCTTAATATCTTTCTACTCATAAGGTTTGATTCCACTTCAGTGGTGTGACACAAAGCCCGTTATTTGCGTTCCCAGTCACAGTGTAGTTGAATTAGTGTTTGTAATGCATTTTGTTTTCCTTTAATCCAAGCAAATGCCACTTCCAGAACATCCAGCCTGGGAAGAATCTCTTGATCTATATGAGCTTGTAGCTGCAACTCATGGGACAATAATACTAAGGCCTGTCCCATAGCATGAGTAGTTTGCGTAGGTTCAGTTAACGCAGCAGTGGCCACAGAGCTGCCGGCTGTGCTGATGACAGCTGGGACAGTAAATGCTGTCAGCTGCCCAGAGAAGCGTTCAAACTTCTGCTCTCAATAGTCTTTGAAAAGGGTGTAGGCCAGACTCTCCTTCCCAAGGCCTGGTAAATTTACTGATAGCCAGATGTCTACCTGCTGATTTAGCAGAATTACATATGTTAAGTTATAGCAGGTTACATTTTCATGGGTTAGGCAGCTCACGTGTCCTGGCGTAGCCACTGCAATGTGGTGGGTGTGATTATGAGGCACATACCATAACTGAATCATTCTCTGCTCCCTGTAGAAGGGCTGTGTAGCTATTGCTGCCATTTGTATAGTTCATTGTTCTGTTTGTACAAAGAATGGGAGCATCATCCACTAGGACTTGTCATGTACAGGTGAAATGGTTCTATTTACTCCTGTCGCTAGCAGAGGCCCTGACAGTCCTCCTTGGTGCCACACAAGTGTGTGACTGACAGATTGGTTAAATGCTATTGTTTGGTTCCCAGTCATTAGGTATCCACAGGGTCCCCAGTCATATATAGTTACGTTACATCCTTCTATACATGCAGAATTTGGCACATGGCGTGGTTGCAACTTGACCCCTCTGTAAAATTTCTTTTATCTTACAATTAGAGTATTTGGGGCCCAACTAATATTAATAATTTCTGTTGAGTCATTTGGTCTCAAACCTGGGCTGTTTACCAATTTAAACTTTTGTTCATTTGCTTTTTTGCTGTTGTTTGCAACAAGATGAAATTGCCCAGTCATTGGGACACGAGGTCCATTTTCATCTCACAAGGCTGGGCAAAGATGGGTCACTTGCTTCTAAGACTATGGTTGCCCTCAAAAAATACCCAGTCTGTTTGGTTTACTAAGAGGCCAGGCAGTGGCAACCACAGCCCCCCAGATCACCAAGTGTCATTATTGGAAAGAGGAACTTCTGGGTCCCAACATGATAATGGTTTAAACATAGGTGGGTCCAAAATATGAGTCCAATACACATGACAAGAAACAGTGGGTAAACATAATTCAAACAGAGCCTAAAATACCTTTGAATTGGAAGATATAATAGCTAAATGTGCTAAGAATGTGTTAATTTGGTTTGGCTTGGCACTGGCCTGTCTCATCATGTGTTCTGCCAATGCCCAGGCCCAACAAAAATGATAGCACCCGCAGGAAGATGAACCAATACACAGACTGTATTGTAGACAAGAAGGACATTGCATGAATGATCACTGGGGGTACAAACAGAAACCCGAGGCTGCCCACAGCTGGCCTGGGAAACAGCCAGACCAGCAAGTTAAACATATAAGAGAAAGGTGCCCACATAGGGACTCTCACCCAATCCGCCCACGTTCACAACGGTCTTAAGCAGACTGGGGCCCAGCTCCAGGGAGAGTCCGGAGATCTGTGAACCAGGAAGCTCTTTGGAGTGCCCTCCACAGACAGACACTCCTGACTTCCTGCAAGAGGTCCCAGCTTTTAGCCCCAAGCAGACACCTGACCTTTGTCAACTCACTGCGGGACCCCTGGGGCTCATTTCCCTTCTGGCTCTCCCTGCAGGGCCGGCCGCACCCTGGGGGGAAGCTATAAGGCAAACTCACCACCTCTGTATGAAGGGCTGTGGGAATCACCCATATGTTAACCTTAATTTGGGGGCTCGGGGTTCAAACCCCAGCATTTCATCATGATACTTGCATTATCATTGAGGCATTTTACCATTCCCCCTGTGATGTCCAGGCTATTCATTCTCTACCTCTTCCGACTGAAGCGCTGCTGCAGTAGTGACTTTCTTCATTCTCAG